CCTTCCAAACAGTGACTATATTGAGCACTCAGTAGTTGATATCTAATTAGCAAATTAGCACTCTGGTTATTGTTTATTTTGAGGATTGTTAGGGTTTATATTTTAAAAAAAAATGAGGGGAAAAAAAACAGTCAGTATGATATGAGAAAAAATGTTGAGTTAATGGTTGGTTATTAATCATTCAGATGCAGGTAAACAGCAATAATACAATAATACATAATAATAATACAATAGAGTCAAACACAAAAAAGCAAGAAATAAGTTGTTGGTGTGACTTATATGAAGGAGGTTTAGTAATGTCACAAGTTACGTCACTGCTTCATTATATGCCAGTCTCCTCATAAAACCCAGTTACAAGATACAAATAGAATTACACACCAGATGGGTAACACTGGGAACAAACTTTTTCCATGCACCAGTTCTTTAGACTTTGATGGATGTTCAGTGGGTGTCGTCTTTGCAGGTAGTGAGAATGAAACTCAGCAGGCTTGTCTGTTTGACCAGCGGTGGCTTTAAGTTTTCTACAGAGAGGTGAAAACTGAGGTAAAGCAGCTTGTCTACCCACCCCTGCTGCAGGTAATAAGGTGGGACCACAACAATATGAAATAATAAATATTAACAACAACATGTTGATCAGTAGTTACTGAAGGACAGAAAGGTGGTTTTTGATTTATTGATGGTTGAATATTCTGTTTGCTCATGATGACCACAGCTGGAGGCCAAGCCTTCTATTTGTGCACCTCTACAGGACTAATGACACAGAGTATGTGCCCTGAACTTAGGAGTGAAGCTGCAGGAAATCCCACACTGAAACTTTAATGACTGTAAGTGACAGTTGGCTGTCAGTCAGTGAACGCTATTCATGTTCATATTGTTATAAGCTGCTTTCAGACAGATGGTTTGAAGCAGACGCTGCCAAGGAGACAAGTGCCTCAGATCAGTCTTCACAGCATTAGCTATTTCTCTGCTACCTGATTTTCATGTCAATAGTCAGAATGTTTTTTAGCTGAGATCTAAATGCACTTTTCACCAGGCTCTATTTTCCTGCCAGCGTCTTTCTGGAGAGGGAAATGGTTTTCATAGTGTGAGAGCTGAGAGTGTTCAGACATTTGACATAGAGAAATTATGTTAGATGACCCTCTCATATGACTTGAGTCACTGATTTGAAACACATCTTTGTTCCTAAGTCACCCTGATCTTTGCTTGTGCATGAATAGTGTATCAGTAAAGCTCATTGTTGCGTTGACCTGAAGCTGAGTGAAGGCCATCTTCACGTCACTGGGTCACCTGTCTCTTTTCTTCTGCTTCTCTAAAGCTGATACATATTAAGATCCAAATCGTATCAGGTGTGTGGGTGGTGTGTGAAGACACAGAACAACTATTTTAACTCAGCTTGTATAAATTTCTGGTGTTCTGTCTCGATACCTGAAGGACTGTGATTTGACTTCATTCTGCCAAACAATTTGCATTTCAATCCCTGAATCTGGGTTTTCTTATAGATGAAAAGAGGAAATAATGAATAAGAAGCAAAAAGATTGAATATTAATTTCTGACCTAGACTAAATTACATCTGATCTGTTTCATTCACTGCCAAGTTAGGACGAACAAACGATGAGGGTTGTGTGCTAGTGTTGGTGAATATTTAACATCAGACAGGTCAAAGACCACATTCACATAATTGAATCAAAAGTCAGTGTACAGACAAGTGTTTTCTTTGAGCTTCTACTTGAATAGGATCTTTACTTCATGTTCAGTCATAAGATGGAGTCTTATGTGAAACCAACTCAGCTGCTGTCAACTGAGTAAATCATTTTTGCATTATCAGTAAAAGAGCCATAGCTCTAGACTGGACTGGGACTAGGGCTGTCACTTTTTCAAAATATCAAGATCGAACAATTTCACAAAGACCCGCAATTCGTTTGAATTAATTCAAATGCGCCCCTCGCCCCCATGCACTCACGTCCGCTCCCCCAAAACACATCATTCTTTTTGTTACTTTATTACCATTCATCCACAATGAAATGTTAAATTTTTAACAGCTGTATTAACTCATTTTCTTTATGCCTATCATTTCTACCTTGCTCTCAATGAAACAATGTTTTTTAAAAAATGTGCCACAATTTTTATTCACTGAAACTCAGTCTCAAAGTATGATAGAACCAAGCAGCGACCTTCCAAGCTGTAAAATGAAGCCAACACAGAAGTACCAAAAACTGCACTAATGGCCACTCAATCACCATCGACTCCCATGTTAAAATGCCCAATTTTACAGCAGAAACAATCATATATAACTCACGCGTTTGAATTTTATTAAGACTTAAAGTTCTGCATAATTGAGGGCGTGATGCTTTGAGTGACAGTTGGTTGAGCGTATGCTTGTCACAATCCGGTATGTACCGAAGTCTCGGCTCCACACGCGCCCCTCCTGTTTGCCCATTTTTGGATTTGGCGGAGTCACGTACTGGCAAGATAGCGACGACGGACCAGCCCACTCTGAGCTTCAAAACCGCTCTTCAAAAACCTATGGGTGACATCACAGAGGCTATGTCCATCTTTATTTAGTCTATGCATAGAACACAACGTACGACAGACAACAGGAGGGAGCTCCTGTTGTAGCAAGGTAAAACATGGAACTGATAGTCAAGCCAAACGGTCCAACCTAATTTAAAACCAGAAACACAAATCTATCAACATCTATCGCCTCTTGAGGTAGAAAGTGGTATTGTGAGATGGGATGGGCTGGAGCTAGCGGGTTAGCATGTTAACTTTCGTAGATATCTTTGTAACACAACACATACGACAAAACTGTCATTTTTCAATTTTCATCATAATAACTCACTGTGGCCTTTATCTTCTCTACTAAAAGGATCCATATCTCTTGCATTTATCAACAGTAGCAGCCTAGTAGTCCTCTTTGTCTTTGTAAATCTCGTTGTGTCCAGTCACTTTGACACTACCCAGAGCAGTGGCATAAATCAAGCTGATATGTCAAGCTCTGTGTTGAGCCAACTGCCTATCCACTCTGCTTTACGGCCAAGCTCAACTGATGGATTTAGACTGAAACCTTGAGGCAGCCACCGGCTCTGAGACTGCCTGACAGGTGAGGGCAGATAGGAAATTGTATTTTACCAGACATTTTTTTACACTTGATAGTCTGTGTTGTGAGGGAGGAAAACTATCACTGACCCTGCTGGAGGGTCTGTGTTAAGAAAAGATCATTCACCAACAATTTAAGTGTTAAAACAAGTTGGTTCATATTTCTAAAGAATTGTTGGCGTTGGTATGTTTGTGAGAATTTTAATGCAAAGAAAGAAAAAAATGCTGTTTTTTTATTTTCTTTTTTCCAACAACAACAGGTGTGTAATACAGTCAGTATGAAATGAATGAGAAAGTGTTTCCTGGGTTGGTCTTGAGTATTTTATTGGCATGAGTGGTTAGTAGAGTTTCTGCAATTATGAAGAAACAACATTTTTCAGGATTGCTCCTGTATATAATGCCCCCCATGCCTTCCCAGAAGAACACTTTAAACAACACAGCAAAATAAATAAACCATTTCTTACAAAAATAATAAACAAAAACACTGGCACATAAAATAAATTAATACAATGCATAAACCCACATACTGTGCAACATTATGTCCAAAGTCACAATGTGCTATACAATGGATAACAACATGGATGCTATATTGTGGCTACACAGCGGCCCAGCAACTCGAAACTTCGACAACTTTATCTCATTACTACAGAATTTATGCATTAAAACCCTTTAACACCGAGTGTGTCGTCGATGACACATTTGCGCAGGCGTACTTTGGATTACCCTAACTCTGTCACGGTTTGAGCAATCGGAAAAATTCCAACGGTTTCTGAAAGCTAAGACCTTACGCTTTATAGGCATATAGGTCTCATTACTGTAATTTCACTCCCGCCTCTAGGGCTTATATATAAGCCCGGGAAAGTGCCCTTTCTTTACCGGTGAATACAGAGACAGCAGAGTGGAGAAACACAGCTAAGTTTTGATTGAAAATGTTAGCAAGACGGTCCTCCCATTTAACAAAACCTCCGCGGAGGTTCACAGCTGGGTTTGAGGACGAAGGAGCAACCGAAGGAGCAACTTCTGGCGAAAAAAGGTAACGTTAGACGAGTTGAATTTCCAAGTTGAATTTCTGAATGAATGAAGCTCTCTCTAACTTTTCTCTATCTAGTTTTTACTTTCTTTACGTTATTGTATGTGTAAATCGACGCTTGTATTGCATGGTGACTTTTTTAGAACAGTGTACCGAGTCTGTAAGTTTGTAGTATGTGTGTATTTGTACTTTTTATGGATAAATGTGCGCTTCATACACCAGAAATATGGCGCATGCATTGTTTGTTTGGTGACTTTTTAGAATAGTGCAACGTTACATTACAAAGTCTTGTTTGTGTAACAAATTATTCTGTGTGTGTTATTATATGCACGTGTCCACCACATTTTTATGTTTTGATGAGCTATTAGATAATTGAATTTCTCTTCGGGGATGAAAAAAGTTCTATCTATCTATCTATCTATCAATCAGAGGTCACATTCAGGGCCGTAGAGGGAGAAGCGGTGGGGATGCTGGAGGCTCCGGTGATGGTGTGAGAGACCGTAGCCGCTCACCACATCATCAAAGGTGGAAGACTGAGGCAGAGCCTGATGATGGAGTCCCTCAACCACCGAGGTTCAACCCCAAACGCACCCCAGGTGTCCAACCCCCTCTCAATATGGGAAACCCACCACCAGGTGAAATCTTTTCCCACTTTTTTGATGCTGCAGTTTTCAAACTCCTCTGCGAAAACACCAACAAGAATGCAGCCAAAAACCTGGAGAAAGGGACAAAGTTCATCTGGACTGAAATAACTCCAGATGAAATGAAGAAATTCATTGGCATGTTGCTGTACATGGCAGTTTTGAAACTGCCGAAGATTAGTGACTTTTGGCGTCAGCAAACAATTTTCCATGTTCCATTCCCCGCCACCGTCATGTCCCGAGACCGGTTCATGGCCATCTTGTCTAATCTTCATTTGAGTGACCCAGAGAAAAATGAGGAAAATGACAAGAAAAAGGGCACAGAGGATTATGACCACCTCCACCGAGTCAGACCTCTCATGGAGTTGATTTGCGTGAATTGCAAGGCCATCTACCACCCAAGACAGCACCTTGCAGTCGATGAGAGGATGGTTGGGACCAAGGCCAGGCTCAGCATCAAGCAGTACATGAAGGCCAAGCCAACAAAGTGGGGGCTGAAGTTTTTTGTGCTTGCTGACATGAACGGCCACACCATTGACTTCATGCTCTACACGGGCAAGTCCAAGTGGGCATCAGGGAAGGGGCTCTCATTTGATGTTGTAGCAGGACTGGTCAACAAAGGCTATCTGGGGTCTGGATACAAAATATATATGGACAATTTTTACACCAGTCCCCTCCTCTTCTGACACCTGAGGCAGCAGGGATTCGGAGCTTGTGGGACCTACAGGTAATGTGCAATGGCTGCTCACTGCTCCTAGTGATGTTTATCATATATAGTATGGGTCAAATGCAGAGAATAAATTCAGTGTATACAAGTACTATGAAATGACAAAGTAATCTTCTTCTTATACAGGCAGGGAAGAGTTGGTGTCCCCACCACCCAAGAAAATGCACTCACAAAGAAATCACCACGAGGCAGCATCCGGTGGATCAGGGACAGAGATCTTCTGTTTGTGAAGTGGATGGACGTGAGAGAAGTCTCCCTGTGCTCCACCATCCACCCAGTCTACAGTGGGGACACAGTGGAGCGCTGGTCAAAGACAGGTGATGGGCCACAACAGAAGATCTCTGTCCCCAGACCCACCTCAGCAACAGAGTACAACAAGTACATGGGGGGAGTAGACACATCAGACCAGATGATTGGCACAAACACTGTCCACCGGAAAACGAGGAGATGGCCCACCACTGTTTTCCAACATCTGCTTGACATTGCCGTGACCAACTCATTCGTGATCCACAAGACTCGCTGTGCCAGCCTGCAAGAGAATCCTATGACACGTCAGCGATTCCAGGAGGAGCTTACTGCGCACCTCCTTGGAGTTGATGTGAAAAATGGCCCACAGAAGACCCCAGGTAACAAACATCTGCCTGTCCCCACACAAAATCTAACAGAGCCAGCATGGGGCGACGGCGCTGCAAGCTCTGTAAAAAGAGCACTGCCTGGCAGTGTCAGGAATGTGGTGTGGGCCTGTGTCTGCAGCCAGAGAGGAGCAATTGCCCTGTGTGGGGAAAGCCTATAGTTTTATTTTCATGGCCTGTTATGCACTATAAGTTTGTTGTAAGTTCACAAATTTTATTGTAAATTGTTTTATACTTTTCAAATTTCTAATTTAAGATGGAAAACCTCTTATTCATGTACAGTGTCAGTGGCTTTTTTCTTTACTAAAACTCTAAAATCAAATTCTGTTTTCGTGTTTTTCCTTCATTTAAACTGTTTTTCAGTGTTTTAACTTGCAGTAAATTGAAAATAACTGCCAGATATTGAAAGTCCCAAGTATTCTGGAAAAATGGGCAAAAGCACTTACTCACAGGACATTTGACCTTTTTATAGTCAAAATAAGCAAAAAAATCCAGGTGGACATTTTGAGGCTCAGTTGTTAAAGGGTTAAAAACAACAAAAAAACTCTTACTCAAAATAATCAGTGACATTACATTGCTCTTACATTAACTTTACGTAAGTTAACACCAAATAATCGTGTAAAATGACAGAAAATAGGCACAGAGGGAGATGTGCATACCTTCCCAGGAGAAAGTCCGGTGACAGAGGAAGTACAGCTCGCACGAGTGCAGCAAGTATAACTTTTTCAAAATAAACCTATAATTGCACTTCCTGCTACCAAAGAAAAATCTCCCGTTTATGAAAGTGAGCAACCCTACATAAAATACTACTAACTCTCATACCTATTATTTTATGAACACAATAAAACATTTTTATATGAACATAAAAATACTTAGGAAAATTATCCCAGAAACAGTGTCAAAATAAAAGTCTCAGTAATCTTTACAGGTAAATATAGCGTCCTGTTCATCATATAGCGCAACAACATACACTTATTACACATGTACATGGGAATTGTTACAGTGCAGTTCCTTTCCTGTGGGCTGAGTTTTGGGTTTTATGTACCTATGTGTGGCTCTTCTTTTTGCACAGTGTGTAAGAAAAAAGGAGACAAAAAGAGGGAGGGAAGAAACCAAAGCAGATGCTGCTAATGAAGAAAACAATGAAGCAGGCTAAATGAATAGGGACACAATCTAAGACAACCTTTGATTGCATTCTAAGAAAAGACCGCCATGGTGGCCCCAGGCTTCATCCACACAAATACGTTTTAGTTGTAAAACTTGATAGCAGCTGTTGAGTGTTTTTTCTGTTCCTCGTTCATAGTATTTTGTGAAACTAACCAACTGCAGAGTAGACAATCTGCACATTCTCAGTGTACATGAATGGTCATGTGATATGGGTTTTCAGGTGTGGCAGTTTGGACAGAAATAATTTCTGATATGGAGCTAAAACAATCATCTGGACGGAGATAGTTTTTGTTTTAAAATTAGGTTGTGTGGCCACAACCTAATGACAGCTAGGCCCACAGGCATTATGCCCCTCAGTACGTCTATCTGTCGGTACGTCTGTCTTTCTGTATGTCTGTGGGTCTGTACATCTGTATGTCTGTACGTCTTGTGAACATGATATCTCAGTAACATCTTGAGGGAATTTCTTCATTCATCGATCCATGAGTTCAAATGTTTGTGCCAAACATTTTGACTCAAGGATGAACTGATAAGATTTTGGTGGTCAAAGGTCAAGGTCACGGTGATCTCATAAAAAACCTTTTTACCTGTCAGGTCAACTTTACTGTGACATCATAATGCTCTGTAAAAACACCTGTGGTCATTATTCATCACTGTAACTCAGGAGGGAGAGGTTGTGACCATATTTCCTGTAATTTGATTGGTCAATGGAGGCAAACAACCACGAGGCAGGAATTCTTGTTCTAGTTCCTATCAAATTAAAATAAGCTACATGAGCTTCCTCGGTGGTGACTGATGAGTGATGGCAGATCAGAATGACAGATGGGGTTGAAATCAGGCCTCTGCTCCCACCTCGCAGGACTAAGAACTGACACACTGGCAGTGATGCAGCTCATTTTCATTTTATGATTTTCAGAAGATGTTGTTTATGCTGTGAAAGTCAAGTGAGAGAAAAAAAATGGTTCTTATTTAATTGCCAGTGTATGGAGGCCGAGTCTGTAGATCTCACTAGTTACTTCAGATCCAAGCTAATCTCTGTTTAAATCAGCTCTCCTTACCTATTCAAGTTTTAGTTGATCTCTGTGCTGAAGATAATTTCTTGGATAAGGAGGCATCTTTACAATCTGGTTTTCCTCTTAAGCTATTGCAGACACCCCTCACAGCCAGTGCTTTAGATGGGAAGTTTTTGGCCCCTAACTCTTTAAACTGTAGCTCTGACACTGATTTTTTTTTCTGGTAACCATCGAGAAAAGATTGTGTGTTAAGGTGCAATGTGTAAGATCTGGCCAAATCTGGAATTTTAGCTTAAAATGATCAAAAAATGAACTAACACCACCAATAGTATGTGAAGGAGCCACAGTGATGATGTCATGACCAAGACCATCTATTGTATTTCAGAGATATCTACTGAAATGAACATGCTAACCAACTAGCTGTGTCCTGGACCATATTGTAATACCACACTAGACACACTAGATGCTGTGTGAGTCAGTGTAGCATCTAGTCTGCCCTCAGTCCCACGGAGAAGTAGAGCTTTCTCCTGAGCTTGAAGTTACGCTACAGCTCCTGACTAGAAAAAAAAAAGCTGCCAACGAGCATCATAGAAACGCCGAGATGGCAGAAGGTCCTAGAAAGCCGTCTTCATCTCCATCCCGAAGAACCGCTCCGAGAAGAAACCACATTCAACAGCAAAGAAGCAAAACACGTGTGCATGCTGGTGTGTTTTTCCAGCGCAGAAGACAGCTCCAGGTAAAGATGCCAAGCTCGCAACTTTTCTTTTAGACTGGTGAGTAACATCTAATGTTGGTCTGTAGCGAAAAGTATCATTGGTGCAAATGACAAACCGTACTGATAAACACTTCAAGTGACATAAATGTATGATGTTGACGTTTAAGTGATTTAGTAGAATTTAGCCTGTTCTTGCGACTGTTGTCCAGCTAGATGCGTCAGTAACTTTTTTTTTAACAAGTAAAAAATGGCAAAAAATTCCAATTTACCACTAGATGTTCAATCAGGCTTAAATGAAAATGATAGACAATATAGAAATAACCACAGAATATATGTAGTTACAATCTACATTAAATAACCAATAAATAATAGTGCGGTGCCTCCAAAGAAAATGTGGATCTGTAAACCTGTATTCCCCAGAAAAATGGTACGTTTCTTAACTCTCAAAATATAAACCTTGGGACAAGAAAATATTCAGGACAACAATGTAAAAGGAATAACAAAAAAAAATTATTTACTTGCATCTTGTATTATTGTTTGGTTTTATATTACTTTAAAGTATCTTTCTTTACTGGCATCTTCTTCAATAATTTTGTTAAGTTTCAAACAAATCTCTTTTCTTTCCCTTCACACAAAAAAAACCCCAAAAAACAAACAAAAAAAAAAAACAGAATCAACCCCAGTAGGTGAGCAAAATAAAAGTTTTCAATTCCAGTTAACTTATTCACCTTATAACAAAAATTTTAAAATATTAAGGCCAGTTACAATGGCAACCTTAAAATAAAATCTCCCTCCTCACAGGAAAATTAAACAAATACCATAAATTAATGTGTGTGTGTGTCATTCACTATAGGTGACTCCACTTGTGTGTTAGTATGTTTGTGTGCAGGTATCCTTCAAAATGAATCACCTGGTTGAATATCACCAACACAAATATTAATGTCCAAGGTAATTATCAAACATAACACAAGGATAAAAATCAACAGTAAACAGCTCAACCCTGAGAAATGTTCAAAATATTACCAAGCGCATGGATTTCTAAACGTTGGGGCCCATAAGTTGGTGCACATATGAAGAAAACAAATCCTTAGCGACACATTGCTGGTGCAGTTCAGTGTATCCTCTCCAGTTACTCACGCGACCACGACACAGAGTCCAGAAGGGTCCCGGAGGAGGTAGATGATGCAGCAGGATGATGAGGCGAAGCAGGTAACTGTCCGTGCAGTCACGCAGGTCAAGCGTGCCGAGTCCGTCCTCACAGGCAGTGCTGATTAACGTTAGCAATAACGTCAGCTGCTCCTCTTCTCCTCCGTCCTCGATGAAAACGACGCCCGGTGTTTACAGCTGACTGTCTCTCACATCGGTCCTAGCTGAAACGTCCACGCTTGAAAGTCCAAGACACATGTTTTGCACTTTTTTCAAAGCTAATGAAAACAACAAAAGTGAATAACCTGACTGCACTTTCATTTTAAGACTGGAAAGAACAAGTGACTAGACTGCGACATACACGACTTTCAACTGCTGAATAACACTTGCGCTAGTACTGTAAAGTATTTGAATCTGCAAATATTGTCCACCTCGACGTTAAACTTTGTCTCCTGCTAAGTATCAACACACAGCGCTCTTCCCACGTGTGTCTGCACACCTGTCTGTCTTCTCGCTCTCGTTTTTTTTAACCCCCAAAGTTAGCTCTGATTGGTCAGGATACATCACTCAAAGTAGACTGAAAATGTATTGGCTGAAAAACTAGGAAACTTAAAAATAAAGCAAAGGGCCATGGTAAATGTAGTCTTTTAGTTAAATTTACCTGTATTTTAAAAAAAACATTCCCTTTCCGATCAATTATAACCATTTTTAAAAGGTCCCTACATGTGAATCTATGTTTATCTTTTTGACTGCTGCAGTATTTTACCTTTTTATTGTTATTTTCTGTTAATATGTTTATTAAATACTGCACCAAACACCAAGCCAAATATCTTGGCAATAAACCTTATTTTCTGATTTCCTCATGCACTATAGCCTGACACCCATGTGTCATGCAGTATCCCCTTGCCTTCATATTTTTATATGTAAATAAAAACATACTGTTTGTATTACAAGTATTCATAATTTGTTTCAGTGCTATCAACAACATTTTAACTATCAACAATAAATGCACATATAATAAATTAAGAAACATAGGGAAAACAATATGATTAACTGGAGAGGGGCAAAGAGGTGAAATGTTGCCCCCTATGGAGGTGGATCAAGTAGCACAATCTTACACATTATACCTTTAAAGACAGACTCTAGGAAACTACTGTTAGGTATCAGCTTTGCCTGTCCCTCACTCCCCTGTGTTCATGCTGTTGTTCCCTTCCTTATATTTCTTGTTTGTCCCCAGTTTGCTTTCTCGACTCCTGCTGTAAACTGCTTCTGATCTGTTCATCCAGCAATCCCAGTCCCATCTTGATGCCATCATTCCTAAATTGTACAATAAAGTACTCTGGGTAGTTTATTGTACTGCTTTAGTCTATTGCACTCTCTATAGAGCTCCGTGAAAGAAAGGTGGACAAACCACTGCAGCATAAAGCTGTCAAACTTGTTTCAATCTTTGTGGTAGGTACGGGAATTGAGTGGCCATCAGAAGCTTCATTCTGTTTCAAAAATCCACAAGCCAATGAGAGAATCAATTCCCCTACAAACTGAAAGCAAACATTGTGTTGAGTGTAATGTTGATCTCGATATGTGTATAAAACTTACTCAAGAAGTGCTCTTCAGTTTTGTGAGCATATTCACATGAGAACTCTAGTTTATTTACTAGCAGATTGTGTCATGTTTTAACATAGGGCTGGACCCAAATGCAGCCAACACATGGGAGTGCAAAAATGTTTATTAAACAAAAGAAATTACAAAACTGGTGAACCAACTGAATAGGAAGCAGGGGGTGAACACTGGGGACTAAACACAAAGCCAAAGCACGAGGATGAGAAGGACTTATCTGGTAGACAGGGGATAACAACCACAGACGAACCGACCCAGACAAAGGGGAGCACAGAGACTAAATAGACACAAGGGAGGCAAGCGTGATTGAACACAGGTGAAACACATTAGGGCGGGGCAGACAATCACCAAACAGGCAAACAGGACAAAGACAGGAAGTACAAACATCGAGACAAACAAGGAAACTAACAAAAAAAACAAACAAAATAATAAAACAGGAAGTGACAAAAATCCAAACATAATCTGTTATGGGTCGGATTCCAGAGGACCCTCTGCCCGAGGGAGACAAGGACTTAACTGGTAGACAGGGGATAACAACCGCAGACAAACCGACCTAGACAAAGGGGAGCAAAGAGACTAAATAGACACAAGGGAGGCAGATAGATAGATAGATAGATAGATAGATAGATAGATAGATAGATAGATAGATAGATAGATAGATTATTATTGTAGCAAAGACACTGCTTTACAGACTCTTACATTTTTGGTTGCTACATGTGAAGCAAAACTTAGTAAATTAATCAATCATCCATGATACACTGCTAAACAATAACTAGACTGCTTCATTCATCTGCAAAGATCATTGTAGTGTATGACAGCCATGCAGACCTCTAAGGATCCAGTTGAGTTTTAGGTCTTTGGAAAAAACATACAGAAAGGAAGCCACAGAGAGGCAAGTCATCACCACTCTATTCTTTATATAAAGTGCCAGTGAAAAGGAATATAAAACATGCTAACACATTGTAGTCAAGGTCTGAGGAGGGAAGACTAAACAGGGGCACTACAACAGGGGGATAAGGAGCATGTGGAATCGAAAATTACAATAGACTTAAAAAATATTTAAAATCACTCTGTTCAGTTGTCAGGTGGCAACATTACCTGTGCAAAGCAATATTAACTAACACTGCATTCACACATACAGTATGGATTGAAAAAGCAGGGACAGCAACAGCTGCTATTGATTGTGAATGGGACCTGGCTTTCCATCACTAGAAAGTGTATGACAGAAACGTGCAGTATTAATGAAATGTGCTGTATGTCGCCTGCACATAAGCTGATGCAGGGTTCAGATGCTACCTATATGGGAGGTGTATTGTGCTGAAGTGGGTAGTGCCCACCTACATAAACAACCTCTGTATGCACTGTTGCCTGCTGCTCAGATGATCCAAAGTTCACTGCTTGGATTTCAGAGCTGTACATGCAAAGTGAAGTTCTCTGTGTGTCTCTATGTGAGAAGCCATGCTCCTCCTCAGCTCAAAGCTATAGGCATACTGCTGCTTAATTCTGAAGAAATGCTTGTTGAACCTGCTCAGGTGTGTGTGTGTAACTGATCAGCAAGTGGCTCCTGGGTTCCCTCAACAATTAGTGTGACAGATGTCTTTACTATTGGCCCTGCCTGATCATTCTTTTTTGCCTTCTCTTCTGTCCCCCATCAAATAGAGGACACCTGTTCTGCATTGTCTTATGTATGCCTACTCAACAGGGGGACTGTTTTGTCCTTGCAGTTCCTTCCTAGCTTTGCCTAGTCTTTCAAGTTCTGAGCTCTCAATCAGCTTCACCTCATGAAGCTGATCTGATAGAAAGCTTCTCCTGCAGCTTGCATGTCTTACTGCCGGGACAGGTAAGGGTGTACAAACATGAAGAGCACAAGATCCTCACATTTGTGTGAAGGTTTCCCATTGTGTCTACAAGAAACTTCTTCTGTAACTTTGTCTTATAAGGGTTTGTTTTCTTCATGTAATTGTCCTGCTGACATTGTCTCTGAAGAAGATCCTCACACCTGTTGACAGTCTTTTTGTTGAAGTTGTTATTGTCTGACGCAGCAGCATCTGAAAACTTTGGTGGTTTGCAGTTGAAAAAGCATTAATTTATGATGTAATGTATAATTTAAAAAAATCTATTTTATTTTTAAAAATGATGACTGTACATTTCCACCCATAGTAAATTGGTGCAGTCCCCTTACTTATTATCTAGCACCCTCATCAGGTCAGAATTTCACTTGAACCGATACTTTGGTTCATCCATTAGTTTGGTTGTCTTACACAGTGAGCCTGACAGAACTGCTACCATGATGTAGACCCGAAGTTGTGTTTCATCATCACTCTTTAAGTTTGGTCTTTGGAAATAATTTTAAAATAAGCAAAGACAAAGCAGAGGAGATAGACATTGAAATCGACTGTATAAGGAGTAGAACTAAAAAAGATGCATGAGGAGACAATGGCACTTTACTGATGATTTCTGCCAAAAATAACTAACAAATTAATTCATAATGAAAAGAAATTCAACATTCAAGTAACCTGCAAACTCTATGTTGAAAAATAGCTGGTAGTAGCAGCAATGCAGCAGACATGCAGCCGGAACACACACATATGCAAGTCAGAAAAATTTAGCTCTGTGAATCCACTCAGTCCAATAGCTGGGAAGCTGTGACTCCAGTCTCTAACTCAGAGGAACACAGACAACGACTGGGTCCAAATAAAACCATTGTCCACCTCCACTATTTTGGACTGAAGCCTGTCTTTAATGGACAATACCAAATGTTACTAATAATGTATTAAACTCACCTAAGTGGGATTCACATTTTCTGTGTTATTACGTTTACTCTGATGTTAATGTTTACGTGTAATGTTTGACCAAACATTTACAAGTGTTGGAAGAATTCAGATACTTAAAAGGTACATAAAAGTATTTATACAGCAAAGTAAAAATACTCCATAACGGGTAAAGGTCCTGCATGAAAATCCTACTGAAGTTAAAGCAAAAGTATCAGATGTAGTATAAGTATTAAAGTAAAATCCTGGTTTGGTCACTCTGAATCATTCAGAGGGTGTGTCAGCAGCATGTTACTCTTGTAGCTGCTAGAGGTAGAGCTGGTTTGAACTACTCTATATACGGTTTTATCTGCACGTCAACTACACTGCTGTTTGTAAGATGTCAGGAGCCTAAAAGTTTAAAACCACTGGTTTCATCTTTAATAATGTGCTGTACTTTCCTTTATGAACTTTTGAATTGGTGAATCTGAAGTTCACAAACGCGTGGATCTTCCACCGGGACCAATGAAACATTAGATGAAAAAGATAGAGAAACTAATGGCTGGTGACAGGGAAGGATCCATCATCTGAGCAGGAGAGACATTCACAGTGTACAGAATACAAGCAGTTACTTCACCAAAAAAGAGGCACTATTAATAAAGGAATGGATATTTGATCACGAATAATAAATAATCCTGCAGAGAAGAGGAAATGACAGACTTCAACCCAGGCACTAGATGGCAGTATGGTTACATGGTAGATATTGGCTCTGACCTTACAATACAGACCTGAGGTTGAAATAAACAACATGAAAACACTCAGTGGATCACAGACTAGTTACTGTTATTTTAATGATATTTCCGAGATGTTGAAAATCTCATGTCACCTTCTCTGAGGGATGTCCCAGTCAAATATCAGTATTATTGTAGAGAAATGAGCTGCTTGGGTATTTTGCTGATTAGATTTGTGTGTACCATTTGTTTTCTAATTTGTGTCTGCTGGTGTTTATTGTACAAGTTGGACTGATTACTTCACTCTGTTTGCCCCCCCCCCCCAGGAAGCTCTGCTGTGTTCACCCAACAACCCACAGACTTGGTGGTGGTGGCAGGCCAGCCAGTTACCCTGCCCTGCTCCATCCCCGGCTACAATGGCATGGTGCTATGGCTGCGTGATGGCATGGCCCTGGGTGTTAACAGGGATCTGTCAGGTAATATCTACTTCACTGAGAGAAATAAATTAAAAGAGAGTCAAACATGTTGGTGATGCAACGATGTTAGTAAATTAAAGCATTATTAATCATTCAGTTACTTTCTATTTCAAACTAAAAATATCTGGGGGTGTAAACAACTGAAATTGATCATCAGTGTGGACATGACAGGGACATGTTAGTGTTACATTAGGCAACTAAACTGGGTCTTATTAGCTTTGGCCCCAACATTTTAGTTAAGTTGATTGCTGAGACCTGTGAAAAGAGAAAGTGTAAAGAGAAGCTGTTTTGAGTTATTAAAAAGGCAATTATGTTCCTCTTTTATCATTTTCCCTTGATAATGATATTAATAATAATAATTAAACATGATCTCCCCTGTGGTTAATGTGACTTTTTTATATTATGATAATAACAATGAATCAGAAGAGTATTCAGTTGCTACCTTGACAAAGTCACGTGATAGTAATAATCACTGGCTTTCATTTATTTCACCTGCCACTGGACCAAAGTATCTGGATCAAACAGGTTCACATCTGTTCACACCACATCATCACCTGATTGGATGTTGTCAGTGGTGACCAGCCTCAGAGGTGCTACACCCGGCAGGAGGTACCAGGTACCAGGAAAAGAAAACCCCAGTCAACTTTATTTTATTTTCTAGTCAAGAGGCCAAGGTTTCCAAAGACACAAAACGTGATTGACACTTTAACCATTAACACTGTAACCATTCACACTGTAAGTGTTTTATCATGGTTACCATGACAGACAATTTATGTTTGAGTTTAGTCATTTCCTGTTTTATTTTGTAGTTAGTGTTTGTTGTTGATTGTCTGCCCCGCCCTAATGTGTTTCACCTGTGTTCAAACACCCTTGCCTCCCTTGTGTCTATTTAGTCTCTGCGCTCCCCTTTGTCTGTTATTGTCCCCTGTGTTACCTGTTCAAGTTACCCATGCTTCTGGTTCCTGTTCAAGTTCCCTGTGTTTCTCATGCTTCTGGTATCTGTTCATGTTCCTTGTGTTAGATATATCTTCTTCCACCTACTCCCTTGACTTTCATCTGCATTGGGGTCCAGCTTACCTCAAACAGTGACATGCTTACACTGTAACCATTGGCAATGTAACCACTGCGAATCTACAGTAAGCTAAAGTTGAAGGATTGGAATTCTACTGAGTAGAGGTTGGCAATATTCATACTTGTGCAACATTAAACACACCAGTAGTTATACTTAAAGACATTTATTTACAATGGAACAGAGTAAAAACACAATGTTTTAGTATATGTGTGTGTGTGGGTGGGTGGGTGGGGGGGGGGATCTGTGGGGACATAACGGCAAAATGGCAGATTCAAAGTGGTCGCTGTGACCACATGACCTGAACAAAGAAGAGTATTAGTAAACTACTGAAAATGGCCACTGAGACCACCTAGTGTGTGGGGGAGGGAAGGTGTGGGTTTCTTTGTTAGCCTAGCTCATATAATCTAAAGGTAACAGGTTAGAGCAGGGGTCCCCAAACTATGGCCCGTGGGCCACATCCGGCCCGCCAAAGCAATTGGAGTGGCCCACTTAACGATCCCAGACAATCCCTCTAAACATCAACCAATTTTTATTAAATTGCATTTTCCTATCATAACATCATAACATATCCGTACTTAAAGGTTGGCATTCTAATTAAAATTGACCATAGTTATGAGCTATTTATAGTTAATAGTGGCTCATCTTCACCTCCTCACACAATGGTATATTCTGACGTGACTTTGATCGTGACTGAGCCAGCGTCAAGCTGCAAAGTTCTGAGGTGGGAATCTGTCATGAAGGTGGTTGTGTCCTGCATAAACTTCATCAGAGCAAACAGACTTAAACACAGGCAGTTCCAAGCCTTTCTCTCCGAGCTAGAATCAGCCCACGGAGACGTGCTTTACCACACTGAAGTCCGCTGGTTAAGCCGGGGCAGAGTTTTGAAGCGTTTTTACGACCTGCTACCCGAAATCAATACCTTTCTCCTGACAAAGGGAAAAACTGTCCCAGAGCTGATCGACACAGAATGGAAATGGGACCTCGCCTTTATTAACAGATGTGTCAGAAATTTTAAACGGCCTCAACTTGCAGCTCCAAGGCAAGGGAAAACTAATCTGACATGTATTCCCACATCAAAGTATTTGAGCTTAAACTAGCACTCTTTATTGGACAGGTGCAAAAACAAAACTTCACCATCTCCCTGCTACTCGAAGCCTCTCAGCTGAGAAAAACTGGCGTCCGTTCCAACCGAGAAGTGCAAGGACGCACTGGAAACACTGAGGCGGAGTTCAGTGTGCGGTTCCGTGAGCTTCATGTCCACGTTAAAGAAATCCGCCATTCCAGAACCTTTTGCGGCCGACATTAACGCACCGCTGGCCTTCTCTTCCAATTTGAGCTGGCTGCAGTTGCAGACCTTGATTGTGCTGAAAGACGTTTTTCAGCCCCAACAGTTTCTGATCAATGTACTATGCTTGCCCTCCCCAATGAACCTACCCAAAAGAAGAAAAGCACGCAAACAAAGATGTCCACAAAGTTTTGGGGAGCACAAATATCTGTGAGCAACTTTTTCACACATTGAGGCTGATAAAAACTCCGCCGAGATCAGAGTCTCAAGATCAACACCTGCATCAGTCTCTGAGACTGGCTGTAACTGGAATGGAACCTGACATCGATCTCCTCACCAGTCAGAAGCAAGCCCACAGCTCACACTGATATGGTAAGCCTACTGATTTCAATAGCAAGTAGATATTAAAATATGTCATTATAGTAATGGTCTGTTTAATAGGCAACATGTTGTACTGTGATTCTGACCACTATTCTTGTATTAATATTATTTCACTACTGTAAAGACAAACACTTACCGTTTTGTAACTCAACTGTACCTGTTACAAAATCCACATCACCTCATGCTTACTTGAACATACATCAGTTTGTGTTGTTATTTTTCTATAAAAAAATTGGAGTATCTGTGGGTACTTTCAAATAACACGTGAAACCTTTTTATTACTTTTTTTTGCAAAATCAACAGGTGGTGCCAGAAGCCAAACGAGGGCAGCTACAACAAATTATCATTGTAATCTCCACAATAACACTGGTTGTCACCCTTGGCCCATATCTTTCCTGTTATAGACAACTCGCCCCCATCTCAGAAAGAAAGTTGATGTTGGCCCCCACTGAAAAAAGTTGGGACCGCTGGGTGTGCACCTCAGCATATGAGAGATACCATGGCGGCCCTTCGGAAGGGAGCGCTCAAGGCTGGGGCTGACATATGTTACTCACGCGTGACAAGCCGAGTCCGTAGACACCCAATTTGTGGACTTTTGACAAAATTTTTCTGTCGCAGCAAGCGGGCCTTGAGACGTTTAACGAGGCATCCTTCCGAAGGAGGACTTAGAGCCTGGGGCTGACATATGTTACTCAGCGTGACAGCCGAGTCCGTAGACACCCAAATTTGTGGACTTTCGAGAAAATTTTTTGGAAATTATTAAAACAGAATTTAACCGTGTGTCCCCGGCAGCATATGAGAGACCGCCCATGCGGCCCTTCGGAAGGGAGCGACTCAGAAGGCTGGCTGACATATGTTACTCAGCGTGATGAGCCCGAGTCCGTAGACACCAAACTTGTGGACTTTGGACAAACTTTTCCGTTGTGACATTCACACTAGTCTTAATGGTGTTGGCACCTCAGCGTATGAGAGATGACCCATGGCGGCCCTTCGGAAGGGAGCGACTCAGAAGCTGGGGCTGACATATGTTACTCAGCGTGACAAGCCGAGTCCGTAGACACCCATTTGTTGGACTTTTGAGAAAAATTTTTTGGAAATTATTTAAAACACAGAATTTAACGCGTGTCCCCCGCAGCATATGAGAGACCGCCCATGGCGCCCTTCGGAAGGAGCGACTCAGAAGGCTGGGGCTGACATATGTTACTCAGCGTGACGAGCCGAGTCCGTAGACACCAAACTTGTGGACTTTGGACAAACTTTTCCGTTGTGACATTCACACTAGTCTTAATGGTGTGGCACCTCAGCATATGAGAGATGACCCATGGCGGACCCGCCGGCGCCCCACCCACCCCCCCTGGCACAGGCATTGCGCCCGCAAGCAGAGCTAGCCGCCGGCGGCCCACCGGACCCCCCCCCACACAGGCATTGCGCCCAGCAAGCAGAGTTAGCGGCCCGGCGGCCCGCCGGGGCCCCACCCCCACACAGGCATTGCGCCCAGCAAGCAAGAGCTAGCCCCAGGAGCGCTGGGGGCTGACATATGTTACTCAGCGTGATGAGCCGAGTCCCGTAGACACCAAACTTGTGGACTTTGCGACAAACTTTTCGTTTTGGACATTCACAACTAGTCTTAATGGTGTGGCACCTCAGCATATGAGAGACACCCATGGCGGCCCTCGGAGCGTTCAAGCTGCTGACAATGTTATCAGCACGCCGCCGGTACAGCCACTGTGGACTTTCAACTCTTCCCGTGTGACATTCAGGACATGGTGCGGCCCTCACATATGCAGAGCTAGGATGCCCAGGCGGCCGCCCGGCGGCCCCCCCCAGCCAGGCATTGCGCCAGCAAGCAGAGCTAGTACGCCCGTGGGCCGCAACGGCGCCCCCCCCCCCCCCGGCACAGGCATCTGCACCCAGCAAGCAGAGCTAGCCCCAGAAAGGCTGGGCTGACATATGTTACTCAGCGTGATGAGCCGAGTCCGTAGACCACCCAATTTGTGGACTTTGACAAAAATTTTTCGTCGCAGCAAGCGGGCCTCGAAACGTTTAATGAGCATCCTTCCGAAGGAGTGACTTAAATGCGCTGGGCTGACATATGTTTACTCAGCGTGATGAGCCGAGTCCGTAGACACCCAAATTACTTGTGGACTTGGCCGAGAAAATTTTTTTGGAAATTATTAAAAAAACAGAATTTTAAGCCGTGTCCCCCGGCCGCATATGAGAGATGCCCATGCGGCCCTGCGGAAGGAGCGACTCAGAAGGCTG